TGACAAAGGAGGAAAGACTAATAAAGGTGGAAAGAGAATAATAATACTATAAGAAAGAAATAGAAAAAAATAATGTGAAATGTGTAAAGGAAAGAAAACTTATTTTGAGGGGATAGAGGGAGGAGAAATAATAAGCTTAAGAGTCAGAAACCAGGGTAAGAAATGGAGAAATAAAATTTAAAACAAAAATAAAACAGGGCAGGAGGTAGGCGAAATGGAATAGGACAAGGGAATAGTAAGATAGGAGATTTAAAATAAAAAAAAATAGTGAACAGCTATGGATAAAATTAAAGAAATACAACAACAACCTCAACATCAATGACAGTCAAGCATATACTAATAAAGGTGGAACAACAGTAACGATATTATAAGAAAGAAAAAGAACGTGAGATGACTAATGGGAAGAAAGATGATTTTGAGAGTATGGAGGGAGCAGAAATAGTAAGAGTGAGGAACAGAAACAAGATGTAGAAAGGGAAAAAATTTAGAACAAAAATAAGAGAAAGATGAAGGCAAAATAGAATAAGAGAGGGAATAATAAAATATGAGATTGGAATTAATGAAAAACATTTAAAAAGTAATATAAAAAATAAAATTAAGATAGTGAAATAATAGGAACAAATAGAAGACAAAGAAACAGTGTAAAAAGGTATACAGGAGAAAAAATAGCACCAATAATTAAAAAGAACGAGGTGGAATTCATCTCAGCAGAATTCAGTGTTTGTTGGCCTACTATCTTTTCCTTTAGGATCCATCCTTGATGCCAGGTGGTGTCCCTGTCTAGCTTTAGACAGCCTGTTTGAGGCAACAAATGATCCACAATCTGTGGCTATCTCCTCCTGGTTCAGTTGGTCCTCGCTGTACTGCCTGCTGGCTTTTTATCAGCTCAAGGCCCAGGAGTGGTTCATTTAACATCTGACAGCACTGCAGCACTGCATATACCACCTCCACCTGCCTCCAGAGGTAACCTCTGGTGTGATCAGGAGGGTGGGATCCTGGGATCACCCTCCCCACCGGGAGGCACTGTTTAGCCTTCAGAGAGGCTGGTGGGTGTGTTCCTCCCACCCGCAACACACATGTCTTGGTCTGTCCCAGATTATGTCCTGTAATGGATAGTTTCTGATGAATTTGCTGTCTCACGTGAGGAGTCAATCTGTGTAAAAGGGTCATTTCTTTCCTGCTTGGCACTGATGGCAGCTCTGTGTGAGAGGCAAGGCTGAGCAGGGCCATGAGTACCTCTTGCTGGGCCAATATCTAATCTCTCTGCTGTTTTCAGTGGAATGGGGCCCAGGGAGGAGCCAGGATTGGATATAAGTTCATAAAGGGCTCCTTAGGTGATTCTCCTTCTTTCCCCCGTGGATATGCCCCTGGCAGGGGGTTCTTGAGCCTGATTCTGCAGAATTTGCCATCCTGTAGGTGGGGGATAGGTACACATTCCCTTCCCAGGGCTTTGTATTCTGTGGCTTGAGTGGCCCTGCCTGGCTTGCAAAGCCCACCCAGTTCCTAGCTCAGTGCTCTTGCAGGAGGCTCAGACCCAAACCTTCTGTTCTGCACACAGCCCCCTTCTCATGCTGGGTGGGGCCCCACAATCCCTTCACCATGCAGCCTTCTACTTTTCCTGGCCAGCTGGGTTAGTGGACATGAACCTCGCTTTGAATCTGGCCTCTTTTTTGGCAGGGCAGCTGTGCACAGGTGTGCAGGTGCCCTACTCAGCCATGCCTCCACTCCCCTCTTTAAAAAGTCCCTACATGGCACCCACAGTGCCTGAGCCACTGTGCAGCTCTCCACATACTCTACTTACCCATGAAGTGAAGTCTTTCTTGGTGAGGGCAGGCCATAGCTTGCCCATGCCTCCAGCAGTTCTAGAAGCTAGAATTTCTCTCTTGGGCTCTTCCAGTTGGCACTGCAGCTGTGGACGTGATGCTTGCTGCGTTTGTGCAGCCTGAGTCTCCCAGACTCCATATATCCTCCCAAGTCTCTCCCAATTAGGGTTAAGGCTTCCCTGTGCAGGACCAGGGCCCTACCCTTTCACAAGAGGTGGGAGCTACTAAGCTGTGTTTTTGCACCTCTGTTCTCTCCCTTGCTGCTGGCACCTTGCACAGGGTATTTCCCCTTCAACTTATAAAATGTCTTACTGGGCAGTGCAAAGCTTCTATATTCCTTTGCTTCAAAAATTCATATTAGCTAAGATTCCACTGGTTGTTCAGGTCACTTGTTGAAAGATCAGCTGAAAATCCATGCTGGGGGCACAAGCAAGTGGGCTCATCTTCTACCTACTTGGCTGCCATCTTCACTACCTGTTTTTATTCTCTCCTTCAATTTTAAATGATAGCCTTGCTGGGTAAAGAAACCTTGGTTATAGTTCCTTGCTTTTAATTACTTTGACTATTTTATGCCAATCCCTTCTGGACTGCAAAGTTTGGGTTCAGAAATCAGCTGAGAGTCTTATGGGAGCTCCCTTGCAGGTAACTGTCTTTCTCTTGAGGCTTTTAAGATTTTCTCTTTGTATTTTTACCTTTGCCATTTTAATTATGATGTGTCTTGGTGTGGGCATCATTGAGTCCATCTTCTTGGGGGGGACTCTGTATTTCCTGGACCTGTGTGTCTTTTTTCTTCACCAGGTTAGGGAAGTTTTAGGTCATTATTTCTTCAAATAGGTTCTCGATCCCTTGCTCTCTCTTTCCCCCTTCTCGTAACCGTATGATGCGGATGTTGTTATGTTTCATGTGGTCCCAAAGGTCCCTTAAACTATCCTCACTTTTTAAATTCTTTTTCCTTTTTTGCTGCTCTGGTTGGGTGTTTTTCTTCTACCTTATCTTCCTAATTGCTAATTCAATCCTCTGCTTCATCTGAGCTACAGTTTATTCTTTCCAGTATATTCTTTATTTCAGATCCTGTGTTCATCATTTCTAATTGGCCCTTTGTTATGGTTTGTGTTTTTTTCCATGCTGTTGAGCATCCTCGTAATCATTATTTTGAACTGTATCTTATAAATTGCTTGCCTCCATTTCATGTAACTCTTTTTCTAGAAAAATTCTCTTGTTTTTTTATTTTTTAATTTGGAGCTTGTTTCTTTGTCTCCCTGTTTGGGCTGCCTCTTTGTTTTTGTTTCTATGTATTATGTGATCTGCTATGACTGCTGGTCTTGGTAGGGTGGCCTTATGTACTAGGTGTCCTGTGGGACTCAGGGGCATAGTTTAGCAGATCACCTGAGCAGGGTGCTCTAAGAATATTTCTTGTGCAACTTATGTGGACCCTCCTGATATAATTGATTCTTGATTGCTGTTGCCCTATTTGTACATGGATCAACCCTCGGACTAGCTAACTGTGAGGCTCGACCCCCCACAGAGTTTGCAGGCTGCTGTGCAAGTGCTAATCACATGAAGCAAAATTTGCCTCAGCAGAGTTTGGTGCCTGCTGAGATCTCCCTGTGGATATGCTGCTTGTGAAGATTACTGGATTCTGTTCTGTTGTTGTCTGAGGCTCACTACTGGGTGTGTTGGTTGTGGGTCTCTTTGGAGCAATTCTGGTACAGGATGCTGCCTGTGACTGGCCCTGGGCAACCTGTTTGGAGCTGCCAGTGATCCACAGCTTGTCGCTCCCTATGCTGGGCCTTGATATGTGTGGAAGAGACCAGGTTGCACACCAAGGCTGGCTTTTACCAGCACTGGGCCTGGGGGTAGGTCAGCCAAAGTCTCAGAGCCCCAGAGATCCACCTCTACCTGCAGGCTGCCTGTTAGGCTTAGTTACTGAAAGGGCCTCTGGCTGTACTCCTCATCAGGGTTTACACTCACAGGGTGTGGTCAGAGGGATTTCCTCAGGTGGGCTATTGCTTTCCCCAGGCTGATGCCTCATGGGAAGGAGTGGCTTTGGCTCTGCCAAAGAAAGGTGGCTTCTGTAGTGTGGGCAATGTCAGAGTGAAAAGATCCTGGCAGCCGACCAACCCCAGACTCTTCGCATGGTTCTAGTCTATATAGCCCTCTCTTTACCAGAGCCCAAAGTGAGTGGCTGTGAACAAAGTTTTGTGTGTTGGCCCTAATTTAAGAAGGTGGCTGCAACTCTAGCTGTCCCTTTCTGGTAGAAAGAAACCCCACTGCTTTTCACAACCAGATATTATGTGGGTGTGTTTCCTTGTTCTGGTGCTGTAGGCTAGGAGCCTGGTTTAGACCCAACACTTCTCAGGGGGAACCCCCTACCCCCATAGCTGAGATGTCCCTCTGTGGGAGCCTGGCCAGCACTCTTGCACCTCTACACTTCCTACCAGTCTCAGTGTGGCTTCTTCTGTAAGTCCTTGATTATAAGCCTTCTCTCCAGCTAGTCTTCAGTTGGTTATTCAGGATGATTTTTCAATAATTTAGTTGAATAATTCCAGTTTGGTCCTGGGAGGAGGTTAGTGTAGCTTTTACCTAATTCACCACTATCTTGGATCTCCCCATAGGTAGCTCTTGATATAGTCGAATGTATTTTGTTCTAATTATTTTCTCCATACTTTTTCAACCTTTCCATATTATATTTCATTCTTCTAACAAGTATTTATTGAGCTCCTACCTTGCAACAGCCTGTAAGTGCTAACAATACAACCAGAAACATTTGTGTATCTGCATACTGCTTTTTTCACTTAGTAATTATAAGAATTTTCCTGTGTTCCTAGAGACAATGACTCTTTTATGTTTACATAATATTTAATTGTATGGATATACCCTTATTTAATTTACAGATCTCTTATTTTTTAACATTAAGACTTTTCATTTTTTTCCTATAAATAATAGTCTTGAATATATGTGAACATAAAATTTTTGTCTTTGTTTCAGATTATTTCTTTAGTACAGATAGGTTTCTGTATATGAAATTACCAGGTCAAAAGTTATACACACTTTAAAGGTTCTTGCTGTAAGACCAGACTGCTTTCCAGGGAGTTCGTATCATTTTATTCATAAGTCCCAGCTATTCTATATACCCAACCAACTCTATGACCAAATCTATCTTCTGACCAACTCTATGATTGGGGATGATTACTTTTTAAAAGCATTGCTATTCAGCCATCTCGCTCCCGTCTGGCCCCAGCAGTGCTCTGATAGGCACAAGGGTGGCTGACACACGGCGATGCCCCCGGTCTGTGCTCCTTGGCGAGCCCGGGGAGGGCACGTGGTTGGCATCCCACAGCCAGTCTGTCAAGGGATGTGATTGCAGGAGGGTGGTACCTGGTTCTGATCTGACTTTCACGCTGAGACCTCTGCTTGAAATAAATAAGTAAATAAATAAATAAATAAATAAATAAATAAATAAATAAATAAAAATAAAAGCATTGCTATTTCGATAGGTGATATATGGCATCTAATTATTTTGATGTGTATTTCTTTATTGCACATTTTATGTGTCAGATGATTATTGTTTCTCCTTTGTAAATGGTTATTTCTTTTGGCTGTTTATCTGTTGTAGTCAGTATTTGGGGCATAGTTTTTTTATGAGCTCTTCATTTTAGACATTAATCCTGAGGTTGTTATCTGTTAATTTTCCCCCCTAGTTCATTACTACTTTTCAATTTTTTAATAGAAGTTTTTATTTTTACCTAGACAAATCTTTCATATTTCTTTTCATGATTTTTTATAGCTTTTAAATTTAGAAAGTCCTTCTTACTGTAGGTAGATTTAAAAATTAATTTTCCCCCTCAGAATTATATGTAATTCTTAACTTATGTTAAGGAGAAAAACAGGAGCGGGGGTGGATGGGGCAGGGGAGAGCAACAGGGGAAAATTGGTACAACTGTAATAGAACAACAATAAAAAGTTTTTTAAAGAGGAAAACATACTTCTTTATTTTCCAGATCCTAAGCTGATCTTCCAGGCTAGCCTTGCAAATGCTCAAATACTGATTCCCAGCAACCAGGCCAGTGTGAGCAGTATGCTGTTGGAAGGACACACGCTCCTGGCTCTTGCCACCACAATGTACGCACCCGGCGGTGTCAGCCTGGTATGGACGACACCTTTACCTACAGTGGCAAACTAGGACTGATTTTAGATTCAGCAGAAGTACCTATGGGTTTCCTAGAAACCAGTTGGTATTAAAATAAACCACTTATAAGTATTTCATTAAAGAGTGTAAATCAAAGTGAATTGTAAAATTTTATATCATATCCTCTTAAATTGAAAAGGGAACCTAAGTGTTGTATAGAGATTATTTTTCACTGTTACTTGTTTTCTAATGCTCCAGGTTTATTTTCAAGACAGAATCAGAATCTTGTTATTTCTGGGAGTAAGTGTACCTTAAGACCTTTGGCTTAGGAACGATTTTGTACTATTTGTCTTGTTAAAGAAGTAAAAAAGAAGTAATAATTTTTAGTTGCTCATGTAAACTCTTTTGAGGGACCCAGTGGAAATTTGCCTATTTCTGCTTTTTTGAAAGTTATAGTGTGCCTGTTTAGAGGAAACTTAAGAATTCTTTTAAACATTTAATCTTCAAAAGTTTCTTACTGATTATAGCTTAATACCAGCTCTTTTAGATTGTTGCGATATACCTAACTTAGTTATTTATTCCTCTGTTCTTAATCGCTTCTCAGAAATTAATCATAAAGTAACAGAGCTGAGGAAGAGTCATGTAGTCTAGTAATTTTTCTTTTAACATATTTACTATTCTATACCTTATTCAATATTTAAGTATTTTAAATGTTATAGTACCAGTCTTGTTTCAAACAGCTTTCCCGCACACAGTTTGAAAACCACTGATTTGGGTTAAATTCCTAATTTTGTAGGTGAGGAAACTGAGGCCTGATGTTAAATATCTAGCTAAAGGTCACACAGGTAGTTTGTCTTAGAACCAGAACTATCGGCTTCTGACTCTTTGTCCAGGACTGTTTTCACTACCACGTACTCTCTCAAACTAACCTTGTTTCACAAGGTTTTTGTGAAAAAAGGACATGAACTCAGAGAAGACAAAAAACATGACTTACACAATGTTATCTCTTGTTTAGGTTGTCCAGAATGAAGAAAACGAGAACTGTTTGAAGAAAGTGGATCCCCAGCTACTGAAGATGGCATTAACTCCTTATCCCAAGCTAAGGACTGCTCTCTTCCCACAGTACACTGCCCCTAGTGTCCTGCCACCTGACATTACACTCTACCACCTGATGCAGGTACAGTATTTATTTCATTGGCTGGTATTTAGGGATATCACTCAAGGTTCAGCCAGGAAAACAGAAATTACTCTGGATCTTGCAAATGGAGAACAATTTAACATAGAGAATAACTTATACCGAGTGATAGAATGGAGAAACCAAACACTCGATGCTGACACAATCCCAAAATTGACAAAGAACAAAGCCATCAACACCTGTAGGGCTGCAAGGACACTTAAAGAAAGCGGTGTTATGGGAACCCAGAAGCTGGAGCCATCTCTAGGAGTTAAACTCAAAGCCAGGCTGCCCGACAGGAGCTGAGAACACAGAGGGTAGGGCTAAAAACTTGGAGGAGATGCCCCAGAAAACAAAGTGGAAAAATATGTTGGTTTCTCCCCTCTTCCCACCTCTTGTGTTGTCTGTAGTGGCTAACCCTATCTGCTAGCCAAAGGGCAAGTGGGCTTGGGAAATAACAGTTTTCTGTAATACTGGGAGAGCAGGGGAAATATGGAAATAGATCCTACCTCACCTAATTGACCTTCATATTTGCCTGCTGCTTTCATCAAAAGCTCCATTCTACCACTGATAATTTCTGTCTCTTCTCAGTGAGTACTACTGCTTATTTAAATCAATGCTTCTTAACCTTTCTAGGACAAATACCTGAGAATGACGGAGCTATGAACCCCTCTAACCAGAAAAATCACACAAATGCATGTAATTTTGCTTACATTTCGAAAGAGTTCACAGATTCCCTGAAATCTATTTAGGAACCCTCATTTAAAAATGCCTTTTTTGCTCATTTCTCATTTCAAAGGACTTTTGCCTTTTCTTCCTCTGGGTACACATATTCCCATAATGTCTTCAATTCAAAATAAGCTTTGTAATCCTATGAAGATTTGAAATCTCTCTTATTCTAATGTGAAGAACTGTTGGGGTATAGACTTGCTGCTCAACACTGGTCCCCAGGCAGATGCCAGTCCATGAGTTACTTGTTGCTGAGATGAGATTAGGATATTTCACCAGAGTTATAAATTAGGGTCACTAAGCATGCTGTGTCCTTCAGCAGGCTTTTTTTTTTTTTTTTTTTTTTTTTAAGTAACAAGAATTTCTTAAAGAAGGAAGCAGTAAATGTATTTATATTTATCACAGGCTTCTTATCTCCTTGTAGATCAACACTCTGAGTAGCAGTGGTATAAACTATATATAAGTGGATTATGTAAAAACAATTGTTCTACCTAAAATAGATTCAATCAGCCTAAAACAAAAGTGGTTTTAGGCTGTTCTTTGTTCTGTTTTCAATTTGGCTCATGCAGTTTTTTAGTCCTGTCATTGTTGCAGAGCAGAAGGTGGGTCCCGCTGCCCATTGCCATACTTCAGGCAAAATTCCAGAGGCAAAGGTTTAGTGATAAAGAAGAAGAGTCTTTATGTAAAAGCTTACCAACCTTGGAATCACAGCTTTCTACATGCCTTAGTCACTTAAGCCTATTAAGGCTAAACTCTTAGCACCTAAGTTCTATCATCTCTTGTTAGTTTTTAATTATCTTACTTCTATAGTATTAGTTTACAAACTAAAACAAGATACAAAAGCTACATAACAGAAGAATGGCAGGTTTCTGCCTCAGAACTCATCACCTAAGGAACCTTGCCACCCTTTGCCGGGCCAGCCTGATCCTGGGCTGCACCCAGAGTTCCTTCACATTTAAAACACTGTCCATTGGGAAATGCAGGCAGCTACAGCACAATCATGCAAGCATCCTCAAGGAGGAGGGCCAGCCCTCTTTCTATCCCACTCTGGATGCATTCAGCTTCTCAGCCAATCCTGTCCTAGACCGCTTACCATTTCCTCCAGCAACCTCCTCCTATAGTCCCTCCCTACTCCTCCCCAGTGATCAGATCTCTCTATTATTATTCCAGGAAAGTATTCCTTAATAGACCACAGATTATCCCTAGACTTAAAATCAAAGCTGCTCTTTACTTAGCTAGCCAAACCTTTACTTAATTGTTCTATTTTCTCCTATATCCCTCCAACCATATGTTTATAGTCTTTGCTAAACCTTTGGCCTAGACAAATTTCAAACAGCCACTGCTTCCTGCTCTTATAAGTTTTCTTAGTGGGCTTTTTTCTTTGTTGTTGATAATTTTTTCATCACATTTCTTTAACTTTTGATCTGATTTTCTTACTCTTTTTCTTTCCTGACATGCCTTAGATCACCTTGTCATGTTTATAGCTTAAAATTTTCTGCCCTCCTAGTCCTCTAGCCTTTTGGTTCCAAAAGCATTTCTAAAACCCATTTTGCATTATAATTAATGCTGCTTCTACCAAAAGAGGATACACTTTGCAGACATAATTTGACATGAAGACAGTCTTTAAAAAGAGCATTGTCAGTTCTATTTTTATTAACATAGAAAAGTGTCTCATACATTCTTTTTTTTTTTTTTTTTAGTCACGTTCAAAGACTATATGCCAGAAAGATTTTTCATTGCCCTGGAGAAGGGAAACAGACTACCTATGAAGTCCTTTCATATAATTTTGTTTACTTATTTTAGCATCAGTTAACTTTTTTTGTTTTCTTTAAGACAAGGGTGTCAAACTCATTTTCACTGGGAGCCATCCCAATGATTATCTGGGAACTCCTTTTCTTGCAGTTGCCTTCAAGGGCCAAATGTAATTTTAGGACTGTGTAAATGTAACTATTCCCTAACTAGGGGCAAGGAAGGTGGCTGGCCAGATTCCGCCTGTGGGCTTTGTGTTTGCCACCTGTGCTTTAAGAGGCCTCAGTGAGAGAGGGCCTCCACCCCCTAGGAGGGAAGGAAGGGTCCCTATTGAACCATCCCTGAGGCTCACATGGAAGTTAATAATGAAGAAAAGGTGGTTAGCAGACATTCAGTTAGTCTTAACATTAGTTTCCTCTTGTGGGGTTCCTTTAAAATTTTTCCAGTTGGTTTAGTATCTGATTCATTAACTTCTAAATATATTTCACCCTTCTGGAAAAAGGTTATGTGGGCATCATTGGTTTCAAGAAAATCTTGTCCTATCAGGTGAATTGGGGAAGATTCAATTAGCAAAGATATATATTGTCCTATAGTTTTCCCTAGTTGGAAGGGAACAGGTTCTGATTTA